ATTTAGATACTTCTAACATTTCTCAATTACAATGTTGAAAAGAATAGTTTCCAAAAATTCAAAATCGACATTGATAAAGCTGATAAACAAGCTTTTCCCCCCTACTTTACAAAAGGAATTGTAAATTGATGCAGTCCCTATAGAGACACATTTGGCAGTAGTTATCAGAATTACAAATGTCTGTTCTTAACCCAGCAAATCCACTTCTGAGAAGAGATTCTCCTTTCTGCTTAGGTTTCAGTAGTGATTTAAAAATTGGGAAGAAATTCCTGATTTAGAAAGTCTTTTATTCTGTTTATAAGGTGTAGGTCCTGAATACTTTAAGAATAGGATAGGTTATTTATTAGGAGGTCTGTGTAGTAATCTACCGTCCTTCAAACATCATATTTTGAATTTTTTATTCATGCACTATCATCAGGAACAGATTTCTGTCTTAGATCAAATCATTTATACCTACAAACTTCTCAGTTTGAATCATTTATAACTACAAACTTCTCAGTTTGAAGTGCTTTCTCTCGATTCACACTCAGATTATTCCCATTATACTTCTCCCTTCCACCACCTGAGTCCTTGGCTTCACTTTTATTTTTTCCCTTAGCAGGAAAGGTCATTCCTTTGGTGGAAAATTATCTGGCCTTCTTTTTTTTTATTTCCTCTACTGTCTTCCCAAATGATCCTCTGTGCTTTGAAAGCTGAACAGGGGGTCTTCTCTTTTTGGAGTTTCTTTTCTATACCTCTTTCCATTTTGTAATTTTTAATGTAGTTTATATTAATTTATAATTAATTTTGTAATGTTACATATAACGATCAAATAGAATAGGTTTTGTTGTGAAAAACTGCTTCTACCCCTCCAATTAACCCCTCTCCTAATTTTATTCTCCAGATGCAATATATCCTAATATTTCTATTCAAGTGTTCCTTGGTTATGTCCATAATTTTAAATACTGTATTCATACCACTAATTTCTAAATTATTAATTTCAGTTTTTCTATTTTCTTATATGAAAAATGAGGGTATAGCTCCTGTATCTCTCTCCAACTCTCTTCACTCAAATTCTTTTTTATTTTGATTGATATTTAATCCTTATTTAATTCCATTGAGTAAGTTCATATATCTTTAATTTATAAACTTAAGCCTTTTTCTTTTTCTGACATTATGAACATTTCTTTCATTCTTTCCATGTAGGATATACTACCTTTTGTATTTGCCCTTTCTGTCACTACTTACCATCACTTCTACTTCTTATCTCCCTAGAAATAGTTAAGTTTTATAACATTTATAGTCTATTCTGTAACTACAGTCAAGTTCCTCTCTGCTTTTTATGTAAGTTGAGTTTCACAGGTGAAATCTAGTAACACATGATTATAATATAACTCTTGTTCATTGTAGAGCCAAGTAATGAGTTATAATTACAGTTCTTCTACTAGTACAAGGTCTTAAACTTATCTGGAATTGCTATTTGAAGAATGTTTCTAGTGCCACGAGGAAATAATACATTCCCATTTTTTATGCTAACTTGGATGCTCCAAACTGTGTTTGCTACCTCATGAAAAAATTTGTTTGCTTTCATATTCGGACAAATATTTGCTTTCTTTTTGTCTTCTAGTTATTGCTTGTCTTTGTTTTATCATTGAGAAAATTACACTCTCTATCACCTCACCTCTTTGGAGACTGAAATTAAAATCTATCTTTTCCATGGAGCATGCTCATTCTGATACTACTGAGGCCATCTGTCTTGGTACAAAGTATCTCCATGGTTAGTAACATAAATGTATATATAGATTATGATTAACACTAGATACTTTAACTTGGATCTATCTCTAGTTTTTCAGAATTTTATTTTACATTTTCTCAGGCAGTTACTTTAAGACGGTGCTCTTGAGTAACTTTGTTTTTTCACCTCTTATACCACCTATTCTTTCTTCCACTCTAATACGTCAACAGTTCAAAATTTCCTATGGGTCTTCATTTAAATTAGTTGATAATGCAACTTCTAAATAAGATCTACATCTCGGATTATCCTGTAGTCATCTTGATTCTTTGTACAGGGAAATGGCCCACTAGGCATATATTAACAGAAATCATTGGTTCAAGCATTTCAAATGTATTTTCTGGATCAGTCACAGACACCTCCACCCCAGCCTCCCTATGTAATCTTGTCCATGTCAGATTCTGCCTGATAAAGTTCTTATTTTCAAAGCCTTTTGAAATTACCCCCATAGAGTGTCTCTGATGCCTCAACAGTAAAACTATCTCTTTTTCCCATGACTTCCTCTAGCTCTTCCTTAAGATCAATTCTTAACTTTTAATAGAGGTCTTTGCATTACACTCAGCCCTGTGTGTTATGCTCCATCCTAGATGCATCTTCCAGGGGAGGAGGGATGTCCATATTCTATATCCCTCAATGAATCCACCATTGTAGGAATTCCAGAAATATGTTGACTACAAGACTACAATGACTAAAACAAAATTAGTCATTCTCACTCTTGCTTACTTCACAGAGTGAAGGAAGGATTGGAGGAAGGATTTCATAAATATATGGAGCTATTCTAGGAGGCAGTTTGGTGTTATTTTTTTCATGAGCAGATGAGTGACTAAGCACACAATGTTCAGGACACATTTGAAAAAAGAAATAGATGGAGCTGTAGCCCAATTGAACTTCCCCATTTTTAGTGGAACAAGATGTGGGATGTTTCATTTTTGCCTGGGGGAAATTAAGACAAATGAAAGGGCTGACTAAAAAAAAGTCAAAATATATTTTATAGCCATGTATAAATTCAAACATGAAAGCATTCAGTCGTTCATATTACAGATTGAGAAGTCCTGCTGGCCTGCCATTAGAGAAGAAATTGTATGTCTTAATTATATTATGGGCCTTATTAAAATTGCAAGCTTGTTCCTCTCTGGTATGTGTACTGAGAACCACTTTTCACAACTCAATAAATAATAATGGCATAATCACCGAGAGACGGGCTCTTAGAAGTTTCAGGAGAAAATATCCCATGGGAGGGGGTATTTATATATGGGAATAAAAGTTTTCCCTCCCCTACTAACGTAGCTTGGCCCTATGAGCTGGTAGCATTTCACATCTTTTAGGGGGGTTGGGAAATTCAAATGCTGGCATCATAATTCTATGCTTGCAATAATGAAAATGGGAACAGGAATATCTGTAATGATTTTATAAACTGCCAACTTGTACTGGATTTGAAGGGAATAAGGTTATTAAATAAGCAGCTTGATGGTATAAGGAAGATAGGAAAGGGTCAACAGTTCTATCATAGTCTAAATTTCAGATTAGCAGAGATTTAGTATTAACATATCAGATGAGGGTCATCCAGGCCAGTTGCTCTATTTTGTACATAAGGTAGTGAAGGATTGAGGAAGGAAAGTTGTTCCCGGACTATTATCACCCTGCATACAATTCACACTTGCGAAAACTTTATGTACCAGATATGCCCTGATCTTGAATAACAGAAGAATTTTATAAATAGATGATTCAGTAAATGCTTTTATATTCCCAGTATCTTTGTAAAACAAGTCACTAGTTCTGCCCTTTCTTTTAATCTCAGGGATGATAAGAATAAAATGGCAACATTAAACAGTGATGTTTCTAAAATCAGAAGCCTTTAACCTAGCAACTAAAGGCCCTCATCCCAAAAGGGTCTATGGATAGGATCCAGGGCATTTGTGGATTGGGAGGGGTAAACATTATATCTTATTCTCAGTAACTTCTAATAAAAATCAAGCATTTCTTTCAGTAATGAATGTGAACAACAAACCACAATATCAGCATATAGATTATTTACATATTGCATGAGAGTTGTTACAGTATTTGAAAATCTTATATATGTTCCTCAGTCTTTGAAAATACAGCAGGTAGCAGACTCATTGAGTAGTCACACATTAATTCACTAACAAAAAACTGTGTTTTACTACATCACAAATACTTTAAAAAATTGCATTCATAAAACTGATTTCCTTTGTAATCCTATTTTATCTTACGCTTTTAAAGACATTATTTTTATTTTTATTATTTTTTTAAAAGGCATTAGTTTTAGAAGAGACCATAGACTGACTTTACCAGATTGCCACAAGACTAGTGGCATAAAATGGTTGCAAGCTCCTATACTAAATAATACTTCCAAATGTTTAGATTTTGTTTCAAAGTTAATTTTATTTCCTTCCATCTGTCTAGCTTTGAAACTAGTTTTAAGAATGTTTTCTTCTAAAAAAAATAAATAAAATAAAAAAATAATAATAAAAAGAATGTTTTCTTCTTAATTCAAGCTACTATGCTAACTAACATTGGTTTTCCATGAGAGTCCCCATCAGAAAGCGATTAAGCTTGAGTTTCTCCCAGGAATTTTTATTGCCACTTCAAAATGATTAGAATGTTGTATTATTCTCCATTGGAAAGATCATTATTTTTAAAGAATAAATGTAATATCTTATCAAAATGGACTCTGATATGGGATTTCAAAACATCTAATTTAATACTTGAATTATTCCCATGCTTCATCAATTATTGAAACAAATCTAATTAAGCAAAGTGATCAAGCGACACTACTCTGGAAGAAATCGTGCAAAGACATACACATTTTTTCACTTTATTTCTAAATATATTAAGTAATTTATAGTTGTTAGCAAATCAGGCATAAACTACCTATGTACAGCAAAGCTCCTTAAAATTTTATGTCGTTTGGACATAGAATGCTTTCTTTTCTTAATTTATAACAGTGAATGAGATTGAGGAATAGTTTGCTAAAAGGAATAAGGATTTAATCTTAGCAAATAATACCTAGGATGTAATGAATTAAACATGTAAAGTGACTTAATAATATCTCAAATACCAATTTTGCATTAGGTAGAATTTATAACAACTGGCATAATTTTATCTATATCTTTCTAAAGATCAAATGTTGGGGCCTGGGAAACAGGGGCCAGACGGCACAAGCCAAACTGAAATGTGCAAATCAAGCAACACTTAATACACTACTCACTTTTCCTCCCATTGTGAATGCAGGTTGGGGGGGGGTCTTATAAATTTTTTCCTGAGGCAATCCTCTGGGAAGGCAAGGTGTAGCTGTCAGGTCTTCGGTTCTTTCATTTCAATTTACAAATAACCTCCAAGTACTTTTTCTCATCTAGTCACTGCTGATCTTCTAAATATGTGGTAGCTGTGACACAGTAGTGGCAAAATGATCACACATCATTACATAGTGCACATGTGATTATTTATGCCTTCTCAGCCACAGTGCAAGTTACAAGCAATTATTTTTCATCTCCTTGATGTAATTACCCTGTAATCTACAGGGACATGTAATTGCATGGACGGCTTCTGCACTGAATTACACAGCTCTCAGGGACTACATGAGACCCTGGGAGCCTTTTACCAGCTAGCAGCTGGGCGGTCTCTTTGTGTAAACCTGGTGGCCTGAATATAAGGGCTATGCTGGAGGGAGATTTGCAACCCAGATGTGATGTGGGGCCACCAAGTAAACTGCCTAAGGGTTGGAGAGCCTGTGTGTTTGATATCCAACCTCATCAAATGGCTTCTTGATTTTCCATCCTCAGATTATGAAATGTCTGTGGGAGAAAAGGAAACTCCTATGAAAGCAAAATTTTCTTGGTTGAAAATTTCTTTAGGATTCAGGGATCTTTTTATTCACCATTGTTAGACTCCATATACTGAATAAATATGCAATGTTTTAAAATTTGCCCAGCTTTATAGTAATACATGTGCTCAAAGAACATGATAAATTGCTTTAGCATGATAAAATACAAAATAAGTATTACATTTATTATCCAAGAGACAAAGGAAATAAAAGCTCTTCCTTTCCTTCCTTTCCTTTCTTTCCTTTCCTTTCTTTCTTCCTTTCTTCCTTTCCTTTCCTTTCCTTTCCTTTCCTTTCCTTTCCTTCTTTCCTTCCTTCCTTCTTTCCTTTCCTTCCTTTCTTTCCTTTCCTTTCCTTTCCTTTCTTTCCTTTCTTTCCTTTCCTTGTTTTATAAGGCATAAATATAAAAGCACGTTGGTAACCTGATGATGTGGTTGGTAACTTACTGTTCATTTAGGAAGGAACAATTTCTAATCATTTAGCTATTTATTTATTAGGGTGACTTTAAGACAGTGTCTGACAGAGTTTGTCCAAGTAAGAGTCAGGGAAGTTCCCAAAGAGGCCATCATAGAGCTTGGATGATCTGATCCTCTGGCAAGAAAGCAAGAATTATATGGGTAAGAATCATTTATTCCTTATCTCACTGGCTGATTTCCTCCTAGGAAACTTGAGGTTTCCATTGGCTTCACCACTTGGCTTGATGATATATCCAGGTTTATCAGTCATGCATGCAAATAAATGCATGTTGCATGTTTCTTGTGGGTGCCCATGTTTCACTTCATGACAGAATTCTTGTAAAGTTAAATGAATTTGTTTAGAATAAGAGGGTCTTTGACTAGATAAAATATCTGAAGGAGAAGTCTAGAGAAGCAGAGCTAAAGCGATGATAATCACATTGAATACTGTGAGCCAGAAGGCAAACTCCTTTATGGAAACTTTCAAGTAAGTAAAGCCATATAGTTCATTTCAAAATAATCCAGATGGATGTGAATTCTGGAGCTATTTTTCAGGTTTTACAGAATTTTAAAATAGTCTTGCCCAAAATAAAGCCGTTTTGAAATTCGTTTCTTGAATGGGTTTCCACTGCCCCACCTTTATTGAGACAAATCGACATACAACATTGTGTAAATTGAAAAGTGTACAATGTGATGATTTGAAACATGTATATATTGCTAAATTATTAATAAGGTTAGTTAACACAGAATTACCATTTGTTTTTGTTAGTGTTGATAATATTTAGTATCTACTTTCTTAGCAACTTTAAGGTACACAATACAGTATTGTGAACTATAGTCCCCCTGCTGTATATTAGATCCCCAGAATGTATGCAACTTCAAACTGGAAGTTTATGCCCTCTGACCATCATATACACATTTCCCCTAAACCATGGCAGCCACCAATCCACTCTCTCTATGATTTTGGCTTTTTGAGGTTCCACATATAAGTGGGATCATTCAGTGTTTGTCTTTCCCTATTGGACTTATTTCACTTAGCATAATGCCCTCAAATTTCACACATATTTTTGCAAATAGCAGGATTCCATTGTTTATGAGGAATAATTATCTATTATCTACTACATTCTTTCTATCTATTGAATAGGTCTTTATTTAGCAAATGGGGTGGGCATTTTTTCATATTATTCGTATATGTTAATATTTTTCTAATCTGTTAATTTGCTTTATACTATAGTTTTATGATTTACTTCTTTGGGAATGAATGATCTATACATAGATGGGGGTGGATGGATAAATAGACCCATAACAGAGTTAAAGTCCTTTATTGGCTTTCATTTTTGAACATTTATAGGGCAACTCTTCTAAACTGTCTACCCCCAAAAATTCTCTGAAATAACTGAAGATTCAATGTATATCCTAGTACTGAGATGAATTTATGGTTAATTAATATTAGCCATCACAAATAGTTCTAAACTTGCTATTGGCATTCATTACTTTATAAGCCTTTAATTTTTTATGTAATGGTTTTCTTAACTCTAGAGTCACATGCTAATAAGTCATGTATTTTGATGGTTGCAAACTGGATTTGTTTCACTTTAGGCTGTCCTTCATCATAGTGGCACCACTTGTTGAATACAGGCTTTAGTTACATTTTTTGCCTGTCGAAATGTCACACTGTCTCCCTCTGACCCAGATGCTAAGTGTCCTTAGTTTGTCATGGATTTTTGTCTTTGTGAAATACTTAGAGATTGCACATTTTGTTTTATGTCACCACCAAATTCAGGGACCTCCAGTGAAATAAGAGAGAGATTCAAATAAATCTGCTTGTGGTTTTGTGTGGTATATAAAGGTCAGTGTTCAAAGGGCAGCCCCCTACCATGGGGGAAAGCAAGTAGTCTCTAATTAGAAGAGGCATAGCTCTCTCTGACATTGTGAACACCATTAAGGAGTGAGCCAAATGGAATTTATTACTTTTCCCCTAAAATCATACTATTTAGTAACTATATCACTATTGTAATTTGTGGAATTCATTGGAGTTTTCAACAGAAAAAGATGTTTTAAATATTTACCTGATAACTAATGCCAAAAATCATAGCTTCACAGCTCTTATACTATAACAAGCAATTGATTTGCTTGCCCACGACAAGTTCATTCCTAATTTTATTAAACCTTTTCAACTATAGGATCTGGAATTCAATATACATTATATCCTCTTTCTAAACTTCTGAGGTTTCCCCCTTCTGCTCCTAGACTTGGACTTCACTTTACTTTCTGAAAGCCTTATCATGCCTATAATTTGGTTAAATTAGCCCAAACCCAAGTGATATTAAAGAAAAACATCCTGAACAGTCAACAAAAGGCATGTCTTGATTAAACTGCCTAGTGGGAAGAAGTGTGGCCTTATGAGAGAAGAACTTATGGTCTAGGGCTCCATTGCCCATTATGAGAACTAGTAGCCACCTATGACTATTGAGTAGTTGAGATGTGGTGAATCCAAGCTGAGATGTGCTTTAAGTGTCAAATAGATGTTTATTTTGAAGACTTAATATAAATTAAAGAATATAAACTATCTCATTAATAATTTTTAAAATATTTATTAAATGATGATATTTTGGACATTGGCTAAATAAAGAATAATATTAAAAATAATTTTTGCTGTTATTACTTTTCTGTAATGTGGCTACTGGAAATTATTAAATCACATGTCACTCACACTATATTTCTATTGGATAATGCTCATCTAAAGGATAAATAAATGAGCTTTATTGGAAGTCCTTGCTTCTTTTGCCAGCACAGTTTGGCTCTGGATGAGACATGTAATCATAAAAGTCCTCAATTTCTTCATCTGTGAAATGGGATAATAACACTTCCCACTTACTGACGTCATAGGAAAGTAGCAATAAGGATTAATGACCCAGAGCTTGTAAAATGCTGAGTTCTTTGGATCCTCTAGAGTGAAACTAGCTTTTTAAACAAATTTACCTGGGGACTGGACTATATGAATAAACAAATAGAATGCATGGGAAAACACCCACACACTCACACAGCTTTGGCCTATTTTTCCATTTGGTGGATTTATAGTGGCTACAAGCAGCAGGAGAAAAAAAAAGAATCATGCGTGAAAGAAATGCCATAATGCACTGCAGTCAGGTTTGGCTGAACTTTGTGTGGCATAAGTATCTATGACTAAAAATGTGCACACTAGAGTAGTAGTTTTTGAAGCTCTGGGGACATGAGGCATGGCTGTTCATTATATATCGTATTTCTTTTTAAATATTTGAAATGTATAGAAAAATGTTTTAGATGACTAATGATTCTGTCCTATCCTATCTCCTTTTTAATGTTTTCCTTTGTGCTTTATATGAAATAGTTGTGTGCTGCTGGTCTCCTTCACAAAAAATTTCACACATGCATCTATTCTGCCAAATGAGTATTTTTGTCCTGAGTTTAAGATTAGATCAGGGCTTCCTTATTCCCCATGATTTCAGAGCAAAAGGATCCCAAAACAAGCATGAGTAAATGATCTAGGATGAGTAAATGAAAAATTCATCCTAATTCCTGCTCCCTAACTAACATTTTAAAAGTTAATGATTTAATTCTCTTAATATCTCTTTCTCTCAATGGAATCCAAAGATTTTATCCCCCACTCCCAATTTCAGGACTGATGACGTGGATATGAGGCATGCTTGTTTTTAAGCACCAAGGGGCTTTATGTTGCCAAGATGGACCCGGTTTCTTCCTGAAACACAGGAAGCATGAGTATTTTCATCCTCTGAAGAAGCAGCCTCCTGACCTGCTGGAGCCAGTGTAGTCATGCTGAGTGGTCTACGTTTTCCTGTTCCTTTGCTTTGTACAACAGGGAAGTCTTGTTTGATGTCTAAATATGAGGATGCTGTAACACTGGCATGCCAAAGTTTGAATTTATATCCGCAATTGTCACATCCTTTATTGAGTGCTACACACTTACCATTGTAATAAGGCTTTTTGGGGGGAATAAATCGATGTCAGCATTTATAATTGTGGGCCCATTTCGGATATATAACTGAAATATCCTTCAAAGGGTGACAGCATCAGTCAAGGGCTGGAGGAGGATATTGCACGTGTATGTATGTATGTG